CAATATATATATATATATATATATAAATCGTTTGTTTTGTAGTAGTATTAACGATGCTAGTAAATGGCCTTCTTTCAACAGATTAAATAATTCAAATAAATTATTATGTGTAATTGCAAAATATTTTGTTGACAAATTTTAGTAAATATCTATACCACCCCAGCAACATATATATAAATAGTTTCATAACGGAAATGTATATATATAAACGGGATAACATATAAGACTATAAAATCACTATCTATAAGAGGAACACGATAAAACTAAAATAAAATAAAAAATGTGTAATAAAACTAAAGCTGTAGATCCCTAAAACAACATTCATCATTTAACATAACTAGCCATTAAAATGAAAAATATATAATCGAAATTTGCTAAAACTAATATAAACATTAATGTTCTAACAAATTAAATAACACGGGTATTATTATACTAGTCTAATAAATTCACGTTACACGGTGGTAAACACGAGGAAAGCTCTAATAGAATATTAATGTCACATTGTTTTTTAAAGAAAAACCTGATTTATAATAAATTGTAATTTGACAATTTAGTTTTCAATTTGTAACGCCGCGTTACTGAGAATTTCTTTTCATTCGTAAGTAATTACTCTTTATAATTGTTGTAATTAGTAGTTAAATACGTCTGTAATAGTAGGTATGTCTTCTACATTTAGTCCCCACAATCATCATCCCAATTTAATAATAGTTTAAAAATCAAGTAAAAGTATTATTTATACATAAACAACGATTATGAAATAACTTGTCAGATATGTTAAACCTATACATAGTCGACATAGATAGGACAAAAACAAACGTGTTTTATTAAATTTAAAAAGAAAAAAATGAAAACTAAGCGGATCAGATGGGATCCAGTGTGCTAGCTCCGTTATTTATATTTGATAGTATATTATCAAGTATTTATAAGTATAATATTATAATCAACGCCAAGAAGGTGTGTGTTATTGACACCGTGGAGATCAATCGCAGCCGACGGCTACCTTAACGATAATTATTATGATTGGATTTTTGTTGTTATTTCTTTATGCCTTTCGGGTGACGCGAACAATGATCACGCGCTTCGATCGATCAAATATAATATATCTATTCAGCGTTGTGACACCATAACCTTATAGTGTTTTTATTATTGTTATTACATGGTAGCAGCGATCTCCTCGTCAAACCGTCAAAGGACACGCGAGCAATTTGGGTTCACTGTTTAAAGGAAACACCTCTCGAATTTCAACGACAAGCTCTCTACTGCTTATGTTCTTTGGTTGGTAAAAAAAAAATAAAACATTTGTACTATACTTACAAGTTCAACAGAAAAGTCTGACGGTTGACAACGGAGAAAATAGACTCGGGGGCAAAAAAATAAAAAGGAATAGGTAAGCGTCAGATTTAAGAACGTCGGCCAAAAGGCGTTTCAGTGACGGTTAGGAGAGATTGTTTTCCCTAAGGTTGTTATTGCAAGCATAGTACTAAGTACGACTGATAATGGTATATCGTCGTCGTTTTCACAAGATACAATATAATACATCATAAGAGAAAATACGGCGGTATTAAAATTTATTATATTATCATCATTTCTACACTGATGTTTCTTTCTACTTCGCATTACCCGGTTTATGCGCCGAGATTTTTTTTATAACCGTCATAATAATTATTCATTTGTTGTCTCTCGTAAAAGAAATAAAAATGCTAAAATATGGACGTTCCAAAGAAATGGAACATCACACGAGATCAGTTAGTTTGGATTTAGATATTCACCTAAAACCGCATGGGTAACCTTTTTGTATAGTTCTCGCAAAATCCATCTTTTTACTGTACTGCGTGTATTATTCGCCCACGCATGTACCTGGCTTATCTGTCGACTATTTGGCAACAAAAAGCTCACATCGTCTCACAGACTAATAGCTCACAGCTATTGCCCGTCTGAGAAGACCGTGACGTCACGTCGCAATGGAAGAGGTGCCCAGTGAAAAAAAGAGACAAACAATGTTTTAAAATGTTTTTTTTCATTCAGTTGACCTGAGGTCCTAATACAGTTGTGCTGGATATGACCACTCAAAACATCCCGTTGGTTGTTACGGGCTCATTCCCTTAAAGTCGATAAAAACAAAAACGTTAAAGCGGCAAATGTGTAAACCGGAAAAACCTCAGTCATAAACGCAAACGGTGAGACAGACTTGTAAAGAAGCCTATATTATTGTTGTGGTAGAAAAATAATTCATTAATTTTTACTGCGTACACAATAAACTAGAATTTATCGTGCTCGTGCATTCAACTATTGTGGTAATTCCCCAATCAAACCTGCCGAGGACAGAGGAATTCATAGTATTTTTTTTAACGCTTGAACTTAAATTTTTACCTACAAATATTGTTGTATATTCTTGTTAGTTTGACATATTTTCAGAATATTTTGACCTTTTGTGTAGACTGCGCCGAACACTTCTACTGAATTTGGTTCCTTACTGAAATCCTATTAGTTTTTATTATCTATTTCGTTATCGACAATATTGTGTATCGCATTTGGAGAAGCAATCGGAACAAAGTAGTTTGATCAGAAGCGTATACTATGAATTATACATGATATTGCTACTGACCTCTGCGAGCATTAAAAGTACCATAATAAAAGTCATAAAAAGGTCTCTCCGGTAGTGAACGGTTATTATAATGATTTATTTTAACCGGCATTACATATACTATGTATTCAAAAGTTTTCCCTGGAGGCCTCGCAATGTTATTGTGTAGTCTGCCAGCGAGATAACTTTCTTTAATCGTATCACAATAATTCGACATTGTTTAGATTATCTCAGCTTGTCGCGGTATCTATGTACAAAATCATATTATTTAACAAAAATAATAATATTAATAATTACAGCTTTAATTGGCCCGTGGGAATTTTTTTATTCTGATTTTGATTCCTTTGCTTTTTTTCGGTGGGCTTGTCATTAATTAAAAAACACCGTATACACTTATTTTTATTTTAATATTCAAATTTTTTTTATTTTGCGTTACATTGTGTAATCTCTATTAAGTCTGAAAACCGTAAAACAAAATTACACGCTTCTATTATTAGACGATTTGTTGTTTACCGCGTTGGCGAATTTTAATCCGTACCGCGGTAAAGAGTATACAAAAGGAGTTCAGTTTTGGCACTTCTTTTTATATTCGATCAAAGTAGGTAAATGAAAAGCTTAATAAACTCCTCACTATCCGATACGATGGTTTGGCGCTGTTCGAAAATAGTAGTAGATTCCCTCAAAAGTAATTTTCTCGGTTTCATAAGCAATTTACATGTTAATTGCCATTTTAATATGTAATTTTAAATAGATTACTGCGAATTGTTGTTTTAACTTAAATACTTTTTTTTTTTTTAGTAATAGGCTTTTACAAATGATAGACGTTTTCCACAGACTTCAGTGTATAGTGTACGGTAGTACAGTAGTAGGTAATAATTATTGTTTAATTAACGGTTGGCTAATACTATATAGCTGGTTGGTGCGAATGAAACGCATTAGCTTATGCGTTCGGATAATCTGGGCGAAAAAACCACAAAGAGCATAACGTTTCCCAAAAGGAACCCCCGGCCGTATTATATATTTTTGAATGTTACCTGAACAATAGTGTTAAATATTTAAGCGTTTTAATGATAACTTTGACGGATAAACAACAAATATAGACTGCAACTCCGAAACGTTTTTAATTAGTCGACTTCTGGAATCGCACAAAGGCGGTTGAAGCCGTGCGAGAGATATGCGGTTGTCTGTAAAACATTTGGTCGTTTCGCAGAAACATTTTCTCGTCATGCTATCTGCAGTATAAGGATGATATAATTACAAGAGCCTTCCAATGAAATGAAATTAACTAGGTACACTTCATTTTACGGTCGCGGGTTATCGTGTCTGGAAAATACCACACAAACGGTCCAGACGTGGTAACGATAGTCAAAAAGTATCGTTATAACAATATTATAGGTACACCGAGATAACATACAATCGTTGCCATTTAAAATACATAAAGTAGTCGAGAGAACAGAATAAGATATTAATAAATAAATATTTTACAAACATTTATTTGTGCTCTGTTCAATTTTGTATTTTGCTTTATTTAACTTAAAAATATGTTTTCCATTGAAATTATTAGTTATTGATAAGTTTTATTTAAAAAAAATGGCATTTACAATTGTTCTTGATGAACTAAATTTCAATGACCAATTTTTGAAAGTCAAAAACAGATATTATTTTCAGCTATTATACGAATTGTAACCTGTAAAAATCAACTTGAAATTTGAACAAAATTTTAACCCGTTCATTTATAATATACTCGGTACGATCCGCCAAAGGAGATAAGTTCACCAACTTAAATTATTAGTAGTATTCGATTTGAATTTTAGATCAAAATGATTTACCGATAGCATTCGGTAAAAAAAGTAGAGAAATAAAAGGTATAGCTACAACGTCTGTCACTTAGCTACACTCAAAAACTCTTCCGGGCAATCCAAACAGACGGCTCAAGCGTAACTGGTCAAGAGACTTACTTAATGTAAATTAACCTAATTTAAAATGTCTTATGTAAAGGTGGCTCTAATGTGAGCCTCCTCCTCACTGCCCTGTCATTGTCTCTTTTTGTTTCTCATTGCATATTTACTTATTGTACATATAGCTGTAAAGATTGTAAATTTTCTAATAAAAAAAAAAAGCTACAACGTATTAGCTTGTGCTTAACACCGAGAGACAAAGCCCATTAAAATCAATCTAGTGAATTATATAAAAGGTTTTACATGAAAATAATGTTAAAACCTGGTCTATTTTGTGTACTGCGAGGTAGTCGATTGGATTTTATTTTTTATACTATACCTATATTGTGTTGCAGTGTTAAAATGTCATTTGTGTGCAGTTAGAATGCGAGAATTCAATTATTCAATTTTTTTGTTTTTATTTGCTCGTTGCAAATTTATAAAATATAAAATATTAACCTTTTGTAAATTGTTTTCAGGGCGATCTCGTTTGGTTCGATCCGGGTGTCGGTCATGTTTTACCAGGCGAAGTGCTCGAGTACCACAGGCCCGCGCAAGTACTCACCGTGCAAGCCGTTATCGCGGGCAAGGTAAAAATAAATACATAGAGATAAAAAAACATTTTCTTTTTCTTTTTTCTCCAAATTACTTTAAAACGATTTTTCAGACGCAGATTTTTTCACTCACCAACGCAAATGGCGTGCACAGACGACAAGACCTCGGCCAAAACGGCATCGATGACATGATACAGCTCACGTTAGTCAAGTTAAATAAAAAACATATATATAATAAAATACTAATAGCGAAACTAATTACAATTTACAGAGACCTAAACGAAGCGTCGTTACTGTGGAATTTGAAAATTCGTTATGATAAAGAACTCATATATGTACGTATGTTTTTATATTAATAAAAGTAGTAATAAAAAACGATGTTGAGTAAAAGGGTTTTCCTCGTTTTTGAAACTTGATTATTAACTTTATGCTAATTTTAAATTTGCATTTTAACACCATTTAAACATTTTACATGAAAGCTCTGTAAACGGTAGTACGGTTAAATTAATTTAATATAAAAAGGACAGTCTGGTTGGTACGTCTCTTTTTTCTATTTCGCTTCTCATGTTAACTGGATACATGATACAAATATTATAGTCTCATATAATTCAAAATGGTTTAAGTCGATCAAGTATAGGCGTATCCAGAGAATAGAGGCTCTAAGATCTAATCAATTTGTATGATAAAAAAAATTGAGGTTATAAAAAATCTTTGATATTTGAAACTTCTTATCTGTTGATAATTATTATTACTGTTTGGAGTTCTTGTGTTTTAATTATACTTGTGACGCAAAGGCATATCAATAATGAGGTTTTTTGATTTTACTGGTTTGCTTTTTGACACATATTGTATATTTCAGTTGAAATCTAAAAACACTGTTGTCTAATGGGTCGGTTAACCGTGATTGCTTCTTTGACAACGTTCGACTCGACTGCATATCGTGTAAAACGTCGACTACATATTATTTTATCGTTTTTTATTGTTGCAGACTTATACCGGAAGCATACTGGTGGCCGTGAATCCTTATAAGATGTACGACATGTACGGCTTAGACATGGTGAAAAAATACGAGGGCCAAATCCTGGGCACATTACCACCGTGAGTGCACTTATCTAGTGAATTTCCATTCAGCCTTCAGCTGTTTGTGACTAAATGAAAAATATAAAATTCTAAGGGCGTTTTTTTTTATTCTGCCATCGTGGCAATACTATATTTTTTCAAAACTACCCCAAACTACACATCTCAATTTCGCAATTCTTGTAATTTTTTTTTTTTACTTTTACAGTCACTTATTCGCCGTCGGTTCTGCGGCTTACGGCATGCTTCCCCGAGGCAATCAAGTGGTAGTCATATCCGGCGAATCGGGTTCCGGCAAGACGGAGTCGACCAAGCTAATCATGCAGTACCTTGCTGCCGTCAACAAATCGCCGTCCAACCTCATAACCGAGCAAATCTTGGAAGCTTCCCCGTTGTTGGAAAGTTTCGGGAATTCCAAGACCGTGCGCAACGATAACTCGTCTAGATTCGGAAAGTTTTTGGAAGTACATTTTAAACAGTAAGTAATGCGGGCCTTCGGGTTTTTAGCTTTCCGTTGAAATTTAGCAGTACTTGGTTTGGAAGTTATAGACAATTTGTTTAATACTTAATGAACACACCCTTGATCCACCAAGTCTAATTTTCAGACTTCAACCACAAAATATGCGCCTAAAAGTCCGAATACAGTCTTACGCACATATCCATTAAATATTTGAATAATTTGTCTTTCTCACACTACAACTATTACCGCTTGACAATGTAATTTGGTAACGCGTTTCAGAGGAGTCATTTTGGGTGCCAAAGTGACTGAATACCTTTTAGAAAAGTCACGTATCGTTACACAAGCACCGGAAGAACGAAACTACCATGTGTTTTATGAATTGCTGGCGGGTCTCGCCGAAGAGGACAAACTCAAGTACGGTTTGCTGTCGGCTGACAAATACTTCTACTTGAACCAAGGAGGCAACTGCGAGATCGACGGCAAATACGACGGAGAAGACTTTCAATCGCTTATGTCTGCTATGCAAGTGTTAGGATTCACTTCTGAAGAACAGGACACCATATTCCGAATATTGGCTTCGGGTAAGGACTGTTTTTTAATGCTTATTTAGAGAGACCATCGGGTTTAATGGAATATCTCTCTAGTGTTTTAACAAACGTTTTTTTTTCTTCAAATTGTTTGTGTAGTTTTACATCTGGGAAATGTGTACTTCCATCGTAAACAACTTAAGCACGGCCAAGAAGGAGTGGAAATCGGGTCGGACGCAGAAATCCGGTGGACGGGACACTTGCTTCGATTGGACGTCGAAGGCATTAAAGAAGCTCTTACCACTAAAACCACGGTTCGTTGTAATTTATATTATTGACTTGATAAATTTCGGTTTTATTTTTTACCGTGGCTGTTGTTGTCTTCTTGTAGGAAGCGCGCAACGAACGAGTTCTAACGGCTTTGAACATCGACCAAGCCTTGGACGCGAGGGACGCGTTTGCCAAAGCGTTGTACAGTTCTCTTTTCACGTGGCTAGTGGCGAGGATCAACCATATCGTGTACAAGGGGACTAAAAAGACTACAGCCATATCGATTCTTGATATATTCGGTTTCGAGGACTTCAAGGTAAGTGACAACAAATCAACCCGACTAATTATTGTCAGTTTACCAAATGTTTGTATTGTTTTTGCAATAGGAAAATAGTTTCGAACAACTGTGCATTAACTACGCCAACGAAAACTTACAAGTTTACTTCAACAAGCACATATTCAAATTGGAACAACAAGAGTATGCCAAGGAAAAAATCCAATGGCAGAACATCGCGTACAACGTGAGTGGTTATTTATTAAACTCTGGATGTCGAATAAAATGAATTTGACCACAGTAGGGGTTACCTTGTTGCATTTGGTTGTGTCGAGAGGAAATCCTATCCAGTTTAGTTAGTCTAATGTCTTTTTTATTCGTTTTGCAGGATAACTTACCCGTGATCCAGCTGTTGTCCAAGAAACCTGTTGGCATACTGCACCTGTTGGACGACGAATCGAATTTCCCGCGAGCCACGGACTTGTCGTTTTTAGAAAAATGCCATTACAATCACGCCCTAAACGAACTCTACTCGAGGCCTAGGTTAAACGGACCGGAATTCGGAGTGCGCCATTACGCTGGTCCCGTGTGGTACAACGTGGACGGATTTTTAGACAAGAACCGCGACACCCTAAGGCCGGACGTCGTGCAACTTTTGATATCCAGCTCCTTGCCGGTATGTGTTTATGGTTTCTTCGATAGGGTTTTTTGTGACTTGATTTTTAACTTGCCATATTATATTAAATTGATAACAATATGTACACTTTCAGATGTTGAGCAAGATGTTCAGCTCGTTGCGCAACACTTTTGAAGCATCGAAAACGCTGAATAAAGCCAACGGAAGATTTGTCACCATGAAACCAAGAACGCCTACCGTAGCAGCAAGGTTCCACGACTCTTTGCAACAACTCCTCGAGTCTATAGCAGGGTAATTCGATATTTGGCCAATAATGTTTTGAAAGTTAATTTACGAACAACAGAGTCCAATGTGTTAAATTAAAATAATAAACTTTTTTCACCCACAATATAATAAATAATACTTTTTATGTTACAGTGATTTTGCCGATGAAATAACTATGTAAACCGCGAAAGTGTCCAATAAAATCCTCATTAAATTTAATGATAAAAAATTATATTTAATGTTTTGTAAAAATTGATTACCTTAAAGGTTACTTGTTAATATTTAAACAGTTATATACATACTCTAATTACTAATTAAAAACAGAATATTACAATGAAAATAACGATTGAGCTATAACCAGTTTTGAATAAATACTTATTGAGCTGTTAGCATTTAATGTTGTGACGAGGAAAGAAGTGTGTGCAACCTTTACATGCTAACGACTTAAGAAGTATTTGTCCAAGACTGGTTATCGAGCAATCATTTTTTAAATTATATCATTCTGCTTTTCATAGATGAATCTATTTCATAGGTTGCTAATTATTTGTTTAACTCGCCTCTATTAATATTATCCTTTAAAATGATATGTTTAAATGGTTTAAATATTTATAAGGGTTATGATTATTAAATATACGAGTAATAAGGATTTTATTTGAAATTTTCTTAGCTAAAACTATTTTATAGAAAAAAATGACTTCAATTTGAAATTTGAATTATCCTATATAATAAATTATTGTCAAGGAAAATTCTTTGAGAAAGTATTGAAATCGACTATATCGCTTAACCTCATGCTTTAACAATTGATAACAGGTCCTATTTCTTATTTTATTTAGAAATAAACTTCCCTTTAGAGGGTTTGAATTGCCAAAACGTATTACATGGTCGGCGATAAAAAGCTTCTTTTTCAACTTACTCGAAATGCGTTTTTGCATAAACCCATATGTTATTATTAACAAATATTTTATCAGCTAAACTTCTTCTGTCATTGAATTGAGTTTACGTTTTTTCAACTGTCAAACTAATGTGTTCTAGATGTCATCCGTGGTTCGTTCGCTGCATCAAACCCAATTGCGAGAAAGTCTCGATGAAATTCGACATGCCAACCGTTTTGGAACAGCTGAGGTACTCCGGAATGTTGGAAACGATCAAAATCCGTAAGCTGGGTTATCCGGTCCGCATGAAGTTCAGCGAGTTCGTGGACAGGTACCGCGTGCTGGTCCGGAAGCGAAAGCTACCGCCCAAGGGCACCCCGAACAGGTTAGGAAACGAATCACCGTCGTGGCCTCGAGTATTTTCTTATTTTCTATATCTGTTCTCGACCGCAGGGAAATCTGTCAGGCCATACTGGAAAACCATTCCGAAGAGTATCAACTGGGCACCAGTCGGGTTTTCTTGCGCGAGAACCTCGAACGGTACTTGGAACGCGAAAGGGCGGCCATACTCAACACGGCCGCGATAACTCTTCAGAGGAACGTCAGAGGATTTTTGGCTCGGACCAGGTACACGACCAAGCGCCACAGTGCCATCAAGTTGCAGGCTTCGGTGCGCGGTTGGATGCAGAGAAGACGGTACGAGACGTTGAAACGAGGCGTGGTCAAAGCGCAAGCCACGTTCAGAGGACGGCGACAAAGGAAACGGTACAATCAGTTAAAGGTGAGTACTGATGCGCTTGCTTGATGTTTGGACATAAACTATATGTACTTATATAAAAACGGCGATAGGAGGAAATGAAGAAAAAAGCAGATTTGGCCAAGGAGCGAGCCAAAGCGAAAGCGCAAAAAGAAGAACAAGATCGAAGCGCCAGACCTCACGCGGTGACCAACCTCAACGTTTTGGACATTCCGGCAGAACTTGCAGTGATTTTCAACAAAGTCGACGGTAAGAAACGGCTTATTAAATGTATCGACATAGTTAGCTATTTTATTATGTTAAAATTAAACTTGTTTTTTTTTTTTATTGCAGAATGGCAAGCGGCGCATAACGAGAGACAACTGGTGAAAGTAGTCGGTCCCATCGTCGAAATACCAGAACAATATACGTTACCGTCGGACATTGACCAGCATGCATTTTCGAAGTTCACGAATATATATTTTAAAGTATGGAATAGTTGTGCACGTCTATCCGAAGAAAATGTCTAATACAAACAATTTTTATTTTGTTCGCACAGTCGCACGTTTGGGGCATGAAAAGAGAACCCATAAAAACTCCTTTCCTCCATAAAAGCAAGGACGCAGATTATATGGACTCTATAGCCATTTTCAAATTGATCCTTCGATTCATGAACGACGAATCGTTGTCGGCCAAACGGGAACAAGCACTCGCGGACTACATCATTCACAAAGTATGTATATTTTTTTAATATTAAATATATCAAAAGTGTTTTTTTTCCTTTTCAACTCGTCCGTTATGCGATTCTCCGGCCGTCCATATTCTCATTAACGGATGTCGTTACATTTTTTACTTAGGGCTTAACAAATGAAAGGCTTCGAGATGAAATCCTATGCCAATTAGTGAATCAAACGTGGCGTAACGACGTGGAAGCTAATAACGAGAGAGGTTGGCTATTGATGGCCAGTTGTCTATCGGCGTTTCCTCCTACCGGGCCTTTGTACAAATACCTATTGAAGTGAGTACGACCGCAAATGCCGTCTTGGACGAAACGGCCGTGGTAATTGCTTTTACTAATTGCGCACTTCCTTGCATTTACGACTCGAAGGTACGTTTCTGACCACGGTTACGACGGCTACAAAAGCGTGTGCCAGAGAAAATTGCTGTCCGGCCATACTTGCACCCCCCCGGCCAGGTCCTCGCCCCCTTGTCTGTTGGAGTGGAGAGCCAACCGGAAGCGGTTCAATACAGCACTGGAGTTTTCCATGCCGGACGGGGAAACGATGACAGCCGGCGTGGAGTCGTGGACTAGATGCCATTCGGTCGCTTCAGCCCTGTTGGCCGAACGAGGCATAGCCGAATGCAATGGATGGACTGTGGCTTTGGATAACGACCAACGAAACGGATTCGATTACGTGTTTGACGCCATATCTGAAGTGGAAATGCCACCAGGTTTCCCCGGCAAACCGACACATGTGTCGCCACAGCCATCGCCAATCGTTCCGGTTTCAAAGGTGAATATAAATTATAACCTATATAAATATAATATAATAATACAAATATTACAAATCAATAAAATTCAATACAAAAGAATATTGTGTTTATAAATAATATAATCTTATTATTGTTTTGGGTTTTTTTTTAAACTTAAATCTAAAAACTGCACTAAAAAAAAAATGAAATTTAAGTTACCTCTATTGTAATAAGGTTTGTGATGTTTTTATTTTTTGACAGTCTATTATGGTAGTCTAATCGGTTTCAAACATATTTGGCAATATTTAAACAATCGTTTGGTGTGTTAAAAGATAAAAAAAATGTAATAAATTTGTTTTTGTACGTAAAAGTTTTAGTTTATAATGTTATACAAGCTTAGTTAAAATTGTATTTACTCGTATACACTTTTGATTTTTTTCAAAGTTAACGATAATCGACATGTTTTTTTTGATAATGTAAGTGAAGCCAGTTATAGAGTAGTATATAAAATATTATATTGTTACATTTGAACTATCAGTTTGACCAAATGTTTGACATTGTCTTTTGCGATATTTGCATTTACATAACAGTTAACTTAAACTATATATAATTTTTTAATATTGCGATAAAACCAACTGTACTTTCATAGGTCGAGTCGGTCGCCGTAAATCGCAGACCAACCGTTCCTCCACCGCAACCGCCAGCAACAAAATCCGTAAGTTCAAATATATTTAATTATATTTTGATGCAACTGTTTGAGCGTTTCTTACCATCGTTTTCTTCATCACAGCAAAAGGTCCGATCGGTGTCTCGTGATCATAGTGCCGAAATCGGATTGTCCCGGCAGTCGGCATTGAACGATCGGTACTTTGAAAAAACAAGTCGATCCAGAAGCCTGGACAATCTGATATCGCCTGTAAGTCGCACGAATGCGGTAAATTTCAACGACAACAACTAAAGCATGTGGTGTACAAACGTTTTTTTTTTTGCTTGCAGGTGCCACAACCGGTGATTTCACCGAAAAAACTTGACTCGTTGGGTTTGTCTCACAGTAAGCTCAACGAACGGTACATGTCGATGGAGCGAATACAAGAAACCGAAAAAGATACCGACAGCGAAGACGACGACGACGACGACGATGACATAGCCAAATCCGTCGACGACGACAACTTGGAGTCGGTCAGCCAAAGGGGCGACACCAGACACTATAACGGGTATGTGTTGTAACCACGGGATAGGACAATTCCTTTAAGTACCTATCACGATGTAATGTGCTAATATTTAGCAATGGTTTTAAAAACTAATCGATACGACAATTAATGAACAATTGATAACCTTTCATATTTTTACAGAGCTTCTTCGGACGTTTTGTCACACAGTCAAATGGATTTTGAGTATCCCGACATCAACGCAAGAAGCGAAGACGACAAAGGGTCTTACATCAAGGGTCATCCGAGGTAATATATTATTTTGACAATACACAACGAGCGGCGTTCATATTTTATATTTTCTAACAAAAGGCCACAACTGTACACAAATAATTGAATATCGTGTTGTTGTTTTTACACTCGTCTGAACCGTTGGCGATTAGCACTGCTACTCGTTGTTGAAATTGCCAAGATAAACGCATACCATAAAACAAAAAGGCTACCGAATCCGCAAAACATTTTTCACAACCTATTGTTGCGCCGTTTCGTTGCGTGGTACAATATTTAAAAAAACAAACCTTTTTTTAACGAGGAACTGCGCGTTTTTTTAGTTTACACGAGTTGGTGTTTTTGGCAAGATTAACGCGTTCAATATTTTTTTTTTTGCAAAAATAGCGCCGAACCGGTGTGCTCATAATTTTGTTTTTAATTGCAGGTTTATCAAGTCTCAGTACGCGGGCAAGCGTGGCTCTCATTCTATAAAATCGCAAATGGATAACAAACATAATTCAGACAAGTCCGAAGCGAGAAGCTGCGCCATGTCAGACACCAGCGAAGCGCCGTCGTTGGGTAAAATTTTAAAAGACTTTGCGAAGCGTTCCAAGATTAAATTACTTTTTAATTGATAGAAATAATTAACCGTCGTCTCGATGGGAACGTCAGAGTCGTATGACGCATAATATTTTAATGCGAGAAAACCTCTCCGAGGAAAACGCTTGAAAATAAGTAGTTTTCGTGCACTGTAATTTGGATCATATTTTTTATTTCCATGTTTCCGAACACAATTAATTTGGTAAAATGTACAATTGTACTCATATTTCTGACGTTTTTGTCGGAGTACAATATATTATAAAGTTTCCCACCATCGCGTGAGCCGCCTACGCTTACGCTCTAACCTAGTATTCTAACAGTCATTTATGGCGTGTTATTAATATCATCAGTCGTGTGTTTGTTTTCAAAGTGTACTCGTCAGGTTCTCGCAGCCGTTTAATTGTTTTTATGTTGATCTATTAGCCTCGCACGTAAGACGTGTTCGCGTGCCGTCTCAAGCGTCCGACGTGGACCAATTCCTAGACGACCTTTTCAACCCCGTCCTAGATCAGTTGTCCGACGCCAGGTCGCTGGCAGCTTCCATCAAGGGTTCGTCGAAGAGCAACAAATCGATTGACGGCGAATCGTTAGATCCCCGGGAATTCGCCAAGACCGTCAAAGGCGAAAAGCGACCGAATCATGCCGTGTCGTCGGACGACTGCGAGCTCTTCGCACTGGACCTCGGCCTGTTCGCCAAGACGATCAAAGGCGGCGGTCGAGGAGTGGCGTCTCAACAACAGGTACACATATTATAATAATTTCACCCTGTGGCGCTTGTACCGTGCGTGACTTCCTAATGTATTGATCCGCAGAACGGTACCGGCCAGTCCGGAAACGCTTCGTTCGGCATGTCGCCGCTGATTGGTTCGCCACCGGTTTTGCCCATCCTCTCGCCGCCGTCGCTGCTCATGCCCGCGATGAACCCGCAGATGTTCAACTCGCCCAACAGTGAGTATACATGTATATATATACCAGCTATCCAGGCATCCGCATGCTGTATTAAAACAATAACAGTAACACGGTTGCAAAAACAATGGATGAGAGCGTTCACATGACACAATGAGCGCTCCAGTTTTTTTCCTAGTTCATTTCCTGCCGCGCTCCGCCAGTCATTGGCCCGGCGCCGTACTCACACCACACCGTTTATCGTGACACGCTCGTCGGATGCCTGTTTACTATTTGCTGTTCAGCTGACAAATATTTTTCAAATGGGATTCGATTTGACGTTGTTCGCAGGTCTCAGCGTGCCGGCCAATTCGTCCAATGCCAGTAACGGTTCCAGCGATAGCATGCTCGCGTACCAAGCCAACCTCCACCAGGCGTTCTTGCAGTCGGCCATGGCGCAAAACATACAGATACAGCAACAAATACTGGCGCAGAACCAAGCTCTCCATCAGCTACTACAACAGCAGCAACTCTTGCCGCCGGTACGTCACAACTGTTATCCATACCATTTAGAATACACACCCGATCGATTAAACCGCATTCGCATTATAGAACATAGTAAAAAAGTTAGGTACATCAACTCGGATAAAAAAAAATTGCCATTAACTTGGATCTCGACTCGACGCCAGCTGGAAAAGCAAAAAACGTAATCGAGCAAAAAAATCCAAACCGTAACACAGTTTGAAGTGTGGAACTCTTTTATTATTTACTACTCTCATTATCATTTGTAATAATACATATTTTTAAAAAAAAAAGAAACAATTAAAATAATTGTGAAACAATACGGAAACGTAACAATGACTCTTCTAGTTCCGTTTGGCGTTTCACTTTTGACTTTTAACTAAAATATAACATACACAGCGGAAACAGTAAAGATATTTGCATACCGACAGTAATTATACAACTGGAGTTTAATTTATTTCGAATGAGTTGGTACAGTAACATTTTCACGCGTTCAAGTTGCATGATTAACTTTGCATGTTCCTATCAGTGTAGGTAAAATATAATAGCAATACTAGTTTGATATTCCATTCGGATGAAAATGTACCCCGTTCAGTAAATTGTTCAAAACAAAGCATACCTACCAAATTAATACGAATAGGTATTATAGTATACAATATTCATAGCTGTGCATAATTTATGTTCAACTATTAATATATTATGGGTCAACAGTTGTCGGAACACGGTAATTATTCTACTAAAACCTGACATTTTGTGTTTAACATTATTTTCTAGGTTGGTCCAGAAAACACTTCGGGTGTATGGAACAATTCGCCTCCCAAACATAAGTCTACGCCCACCAATAAATCTCAAGTAAGTGCTTAAATTCGCAATGAATTCAGAAGGGTTTGTAAAAACAGTGTGCTTTTCAGGGTCTTAGGGCGGGATCGCCACATTCTACTTTTACAAATGTATTAAGTGAACTCAAGAGTAGAAAATCGTCCATGGATTCTAACGTAGGCAAGGTAAAGTTGAGGGGATTTTTAAAGAAATATGTTCCTTAAAGTGATACCGACACGCGTTGTGTACTACAATTAAAAACTCGTTTAGGGCCTGGTGCCACCGCCGCCACCAATGCCACCGCCGCCAGATTTATGCGACCCCAGTGAAGTCAGACCGTTTATGGACCCTTATGGTCGAGCTAAGACCGTGAGAATCGGCAAGTGGAGATGGCCACCCCCGAGCGATGGGACGAGTAACGGCGTGCCAGGTGACATGAACGGGTTTCCCACTCATCAGAGTTTCTTGCAGTTCAAAATGTCCAAACAACAAAATCAACAAAGACATAAGCAATCACAAGTGGGTTGTTCGTTTTTTAGAAAATTCAATTTTTCTACTCGCTATTTGACAAATCTCGTATGTTGCAATTTTAGGACTCGAGTCAGGACGGCGATCTAAACGGTGTGGAATGGGAGGAATATGAAATACAACAGCCGGAAATGCCTAAGCAATCTACTCCCAAAGAACAACCGGAAGTGCATAGATCATCGTACAAGTCCTTGGAAGTAGGGGCGTCAAGGCCTAGTCCGGGAAGTGTCGGAAAGCTGCGAATCAGCAATGAAATGAAACATAAATTGGAAATGGTAACAGCTAATCATAGTCTGAGATCTTCAACGAGCAAACCTAGGCCTCAAGCCATGAACAACATGCCTGCTCCACCCACCGGAAAACTGGACACCGATAGACGATTGCTTTTACAACAACAACTCGGTAAGTCCTGTATTCAATACGCGATTTGATTACTTCAAGGTCTGGAATCAAGTCCTTGTTTGGCGACTCGATTCGTAGGATGATCTAGAGGAATGAAAATATTTTTTGTCAGCAATACCTATTATAATGTGTCATTTGTAGCTGGAAGATGGGGTAGTGCAGACAGTGTCGACTCTCAAAGCGTGGTCAAAGAAGACACATCCGACATACAACCGAACAACGTCATACGCAGTCAAGTAGAGCGAATCGAAAGTTCAGGATGGAGACTACCTCCGCCGCCGATAACTCCATCTAGATCTAATAGTTTCTATAATCAAAATATGTGAGTCATACAACAGTACTAGTAGTTGAAACAAGTTTTATACCATATGCAGGAGTAGACAGTAATTTAATGACTATTATTGAAGTTCTTATTTGTAATTGTTAATTTCGAATACGCATACTTACTTTGAAGCATTATGTGTTTTTTTTAAAAATAATTATTTTGTTTATCAGGAAAAAGAATAGTATCAGCCCGCCGGCTCCCATTCAACCAGTGACCCGGGAATACGACCAGAACAACATGTTCCGGAATGCGGGACCGAACAATTTCAACGACCTACACGAAACCGAAAAGACTCCAGAGTTAAACGGTCGACCAGAACACAGGATACAATCGCCTCTTCATCAAGAAGATGCGCAGACCACGAAACTATTGCAGTCACCGGCCAACGCCTTTTTCACTTATAACCGCGTGCCTTGGAAACTTAACATCCGAAAAGAGGCGAGTCTCTACATTAAAATGGGTTTTCCACCCCGAAAATCCATATTGAACGCGTGGTTTGTTTTGTTTTTAAAGGTCTTCACGCCCAAAGAAACCATGTCCAATCCGTTAGTTTTGCACTTGATATTTTGCCAAGTGGTCGCCGACATGTTCAACAAATTCCATTCGGTACACGCAAGAATATCCTCTGACGAACGGGAAGAGATGTTGGACGTAAGTATAGATATTATTATGATTAGTAATGTTAACAAACCGAAAAATGACTCGTTCATCACGATTAACATTTACCGTGATAAAGTTATTTCTTTTAATATTTTATGCAATCTTTGGCCAAAAGTAGTATTCCGAGTAAGCATAATACTCGGATGACAACTGCTAAAACGTTGATTAACTCACACCATTATGTGTTGGTTAGCTTTTGGATAGGTTCGGAGTGACTGCTAGCAATATGCAAACGGGACACCACAAAGCCAGTACTAAACGGTCGATTGTGGAATTGGCCCGTCAATGGCCGTTGTACTTTGCAAGGATATTTCCGGTTTCGGTGAGTTTTGACTAAGAGAGTCGTTAGGAATAAAAATAACTCTTTCCACAATAATCGTTAAACGTTTCTGTTGTGTGTAGTGTGGATATCAACACAGAGAAGTAGAATGTCTGGCCATTACTCACGGAGGCCTTCATTTGTTGCGCAAAGACGAACACCAACAATATCAGATCTTACAAACATTAACGTAAGTGTATACTGTAAAAAGTGTCATAATATTATTCATATGTGACACAATTGTGTCCGCACGTCTTGCGTTAACATACACTGTAATATATATATTGTTTTTTACCCATTTTATCTTGTCATTTCCACGTTTCAGCTTTGAAGACATAGCCGACGTTTCGATGGGCAAAGCTGGAGGATCGGTTCAATTAACAGTAATGTCGGGAGAAACGATTCCATTCCACTCGAATAGATCCAGGCAAATTCATTCGATGATCAGTTCGTTTTTGAAAGATGCAGCGCCGCTTGGCCGACTTCCCCGCCAAATGGTAATAATTGGTGACGTTGATTTTATTTTTATTTAAATTTGTTCGACCCGAAGGTTAAAAAATATACGTTAACGACAATAACTTAACGGAATATTTAAAATATTGTTTTTTTTTTCATTTTTATTTTAGGACGAGAAAATACGTGCCACCGAACACAAAGGTAAAATTCGTCTCCCTGTACCTAAACTTAACTTGTGAAATTAATTATTGCCTTGAAATTATGTAAATTGCCGTGTTGATGTATTATGGTTTTTTTATCGTTTCAGGATGGCAACAAACAAACCCCAAGTATTCAAAATCGTCGGCGCCTTATAAGCCCCACGACGACTCACCGCCACCAATGCATTATGTAAGACAGCGTTGTGTTTAATTGCTTATTTTATAGTAATTTTTATTATTGCTTACGACTAACGATAAATTATATTCCGTTTATAGGCGGCTGACGATGGTAAACATTCGTTGCTCCAATTCGCCATGTACAATTTTAGACATAGTTCTGAAAAGTGAGTAACAAAAAAATGATTATATTTCTTGGAACATGTCATTGTTGTATACATTATTTTTTTTTTTAATTACGTCTGTACACATTTTCTATTGCCTGAGTGATATCAAATTATATTTTGTAATTAAAACCATCGTGTTTTGTTGTAATGTCGGTTTTAATATAAATAAACAAAACGTTAGGGAAAATATTTAAAACAAAATATTGTATTGTATCCCAAGAGACAATATTGCCCGGTGAATCCCCTTTTTATGCGCAATAATAACTAGTGTACTTAACAATAATAATCATTACTATGGCCATCCGTTTGTTGTTGTGTAGGTTCGATATGCTAAAATCGGCCAACGGCGAAATAAACGGGTCTTTAAAAATTTTGCAAAACTCGAAAAAGAAGAGCGACGACTGGACTTGGAAAGAGCAATTCGAAATGGTCAAATACACAAACGCGCCGTTATCCGAGTCGCTGCTCATACTAGATCCGGAGTTGGACATGTTGGCGATCGAGTGTTTCGAGTGTATCATGCGGTACATGGGCGATTTGCCTACGACGCCGGAGTTCACCGAAGTCAAATGCGTTTACACAATTCTCATGGTAATTGTTCGTTAATCATATCAGGGGGGGCGCTCAGATGCCAAATCGATTAAGTCCAATTTTTTTTTCAAATTGCGAATAATATTGCATGGTTGGATTAAAAAAGTGTAACAATTTTCAGTAGCCAAGATAAATAACAGTTCAATGTGTTTTTTTTTTCAGCATTGCCATAAATTCGAAAGCCTGAGAGACGAGGTGTACTGTCAGTTGATGAAGCAAACGACCAACAACAAGACGGAAAGCTGCCAGCGGGGATGGCGGCTGCTCAGCATTGTCGCCGCCTACTTCACGTGCTCGGAGAACCTCAGGCCGTACCTGCTCAAGTATCTGGAAACGGCCGCGTACGACAAGCGTAGAGCTTTCCACGGTAATGACCGGTTGTACATACACTACACTCGCTGTCTCGCGAGAGAACGGCGGCGGTGGCGGCGCAGTACCGTTCTCTCGCGAGACACGGTTCGGTAATATGTAATCACGCTCTGTAACCGAACCCCCGTCTCGTTGCCGCAGGAACCGCCAACGTGTGCTTGCAGAATCTACGGAAAACGTTGCGGTACGGCGGCAGGAAGAACGTGCCCAGCGTCGAAGAAGTCACCGCCGTGTCGGCCGGTCGTAACTCCAAGAGGCAACTCTACCGGTTGCCGGGAGGAAGCGAGACCGTCGTGAACACCAAATCCACGACCGTCGTTGCCGACGTCATTGCGGGCATGTGTTCGCTGATCAACGTCAACGACCCGTTGGAAATGGAAGAGTTCTCGCTCTACTGCATCGTGGAAGGCGACGCTTTTACCATGCCGCTGGCCGCGGACGAATACATTTTGGACGTGACCACTGAACTGCACAAAAACCAACAGGTAAACGGTTTAGCATGAAGGAAAAATGTCGTTTGAATCGACGATCGCACGAGCAACGCTAACCTCCGGTTTCCTCCCGAACAACCGACATTTGGAGACTCTATAATAATTAACTCGTGGCTCATTTCTACAAAAAAAGACTTACAAGTCTTTAAACGAACCTAACCGCGTATATATTTTATCTAAGAAAAAATACTTTGACTTAAAACGTGTGCCGTAATGGGTCAACGCGCGATCAACTACAATAACTGTTTTTTTTTCTGCTGGAAAGAGGGACCCTTTACATTGGGTGCATTTGGGTGCATTGGGCTTCAAATTATGATTTCCGAACGCTACAAGTTTGAATGTTACCATAGGCCATAGTACAGTAACAGTATAATATCAGCTGCTAAATCGTTTGTTCCAGGTATTCTACTTGATATTCTGTCGATCCGTATGGTATTTCCCATTGCGGTTGGACAGTCAGCTCTACGTGCAAGTGTTGTTCAATCAAATAGCACCCGACTACTTGGAAGGGCTACTTTTGGTATTGCCCAACGAGCAATTACCCCAAGAATTATTGGTACGCTGAGAATAACACAAATTCGTTTCTTTTACTTCGGTTCGCTTACAGGTATACTTACGCTTTGTTCGGTTTTTTTTCCATCACAGTTTGAAGTGTCGAGATTAGCAGCGCTGCTCCACCGCGCGGCCGACTTGGTACATCCGCCAGCTCTTAAAGAAACGAAATTCCTTTTGCCCAAACCCGCGCTCATGCAACGGGACCTAAAACCCGGGCAGTGGGTGCAAATGGTTCAAACCCATTGGCCGCAAATCGAAACCCTGCACAGCGTGGACGCCAAAGCTCAATTTTTAGGTATGTATAACTACGCCGATTTAGTAACCGTGTGTACTTTATGTGTTATTATTTTATAGAAATTTTGAGTAAATGGCCGCTATTTGGGTCCAGTTTCTTCGCCGTCAAACGCAGCGGCGATCAACAAATCTTAGCGTTGAACAAAACCGGAGTCCATTTTCTCCACATCGTTACCCACGTGAGGCCGAAACGCTACATTGTCGTCACTCAAATTGGCATTACTCATTTGTTTGTGTGTGTGTTTTTTGTTTCACAGGAAACATTATCGACAGTGCCATTTAGCGAAGTAATCTCGACGAGAAAAGTCAGAGCCGGCGAAGGAGCTACACTTTACTTGGAACTTAAGTGCGGCAACTTATTCCAACAAAGAGTGGCCAGATTACAGACGGACCAGGCACACGAGATCGCCAGACTTGTCAGACAATACATAACCATGCATCGCCGTGAGTGTATATAATATTATGGTTGTAGCAAAACTAGGAATTTAGTAATACAGAGTTAGATAGTTTTTTATTTCATTGAAAATTGTTGTTTAGTATGATGTAATAGCAGCAAATCAAATTCTAATATACTATAATATATTTAATATTTCTATAAATTTACTAAAAATTCATTATTTTCATTATTTCCATCAAACTTTAATAAAACGTTTATTCAGTATTAAAATATGGATTTGTTGAAATGTTATTAGAATAACGTCTAACTCTGATTATACATCGGGAACTTAAATAATCATATTGCTGTTTATTTTATTGCTGTTTTTTTTTATATTTAGATAAAGTTGGTGTTCATTGATGATAAATGATCACGTGTGTACACTACAAAAGAAGAAAATTATTACATTTGAGTTTTGCTCAAACCTAGACATTAGTTTAATCTGATCTAACTCGGATTGGAATTTTTCAGTATAAACATTACAACGACATCCACGTTGACCGCTGATGGTTCTAAAAGTTGATAATATTTATTAAGTTAAATATAATTCTGTGTGATTAATTTTATTATTCATAGGCCAAATAAAGTTAGAACAGACTAAATTATAAATCGGCTAAACGATTATTGATTTATAGATAATGTGTATTAAATTATAAATCGTTTAATATTTTATATAATTATTATTATTATTATTTAATAAATAAATTCATGTTACAATAATAGATAAAATTATATATATAATTAACATATTAGAATATTTGTTGTTTTTAATTTTTTTACCATTTATAATAAACGATCATATTAAGCCATATTAACCAATTTCATGGTTTTTATTTTTTTATTATACACCTATATTAGAAAATTGCGTGTTTCGTACGCTCTAAAAGAATAATCAATCTTTTACACAATTGCCGTACGTTAAGATGTGTTGGAATAAATAATTACTATTTTTGTTTCCGGGTTATATCGAGTACTTATAATAATACTGTAGTTAGTCTTAATGATGTAAAATACGTCGTAGATAGTCAAGGTAATCTCAACGCGATGTCAAAATTACAAATACAACTAAATTATTAATAAACCTAAGTAAGTATGCTGCGCCGTTTTAATAATAGATACATTTGTTTAAACTATCTGTTGTAAGGGTGATAAATTTATCGCAAAACACTATTTTTCTCAAAAAACGAGTGCCACGTTGTAGTTATTATTTTTAAAAAACATTTTTATTTTTGTTATTTAAAACTTGGTATAAAATTACTAAATATTGAAGTATATAATAACATACAAATAAATTGTTCTTAATCTAAAAAGTTAATTAACTACCTATATACCTTGCCACTTAAATTTGAAACGTTGATAGAGCTAATACAAATTTAAAATAGTGTCTCAAAAGAAAAACTAGAAAATTGCAATTATTTTATGAGATAATCAGTGTATATCGTTAAATTGATCACTCTGTATATTAAAATATGGGAGCGTTATAATAAGTTTACGCTAAAACTCAACTGCGCCAACTAGTTTTTTTTTGTCCCTGGGCTATTATAACTGTAAGTTAACCTTTCTAAATTTGACTCGTTATGTTCATTAAGGTTTATATGAGCTGCCGTACAATGGCGTACCACGATAACTGTTTAACAAAAATCTGTCACGACTTCAATTTTTAAATACATTTCTCTGGTTGATCGGTATTAATACTGACAATGAGTCATACAGTTAGACATTTAGTTTTTTTTTTTCATGCTTAACCATAAGATTATTATGCGGTAAAACCATATGACAACGCGAGGTTCAATAAATAATTCATTATGAAAAAAAAATATTATCGATAACTTTTTCTTTATTCCTGATTGCATTATGTTATAACTAGTCATCTTCATTTGTTTTGTTTTTCGATAGTTAACAACGCAATATTTGCAAATATTTGTTAGTTGTTACTTGTTATTAATTACTTCTATTACTGATGTCCAATCATTATTTTAAATTCAAACCGTGACTGTGGATGGTACTTGAAAACTCATGTTTATAATAATATATTATAGTATAGGTATTATAGCAGTAGTATTATATATAATATAGGTACTTTCTGGGAAATTAACTAGACATTCTGTGACAGTTGTAAGGTATCGTGGTTAAATGTGAAATACCAAAAGAAATACTTCATTGTCAAAGTCGAAACTCGTAATTACAATGAATAAATACAAAACACTGATTATCATACACACAGCTAATATTATAGCATTTCTGATGTTATCCAGACTTAATGTAACAGGATGTACCTAAACAGATTTAATGTACTTACATATTATTATGATATAATATTCTGTGTGACATTTTTTAATAATAATATACTTAAAATTGGTCAAAAAGAGATCTTTAAATTACATATATATATATATTTTTTTTTATTATTAAATAAATTACGGTTTACAACCAGTTTTAGCTGCAATTAATTAAACTTGTACTATAATCATTTTTTAGGTAAATGTTTTTCGCCAAATTTAAAGCAAGAAATGTATAAGAATCCTACGTAATTTATTAAAGGTTTGCCTGTTAAATAGATTTACGGAACGCTTCGCAATCTTGTAACAATTCTGACTGCTAAAGTAATTATTGGAGATAGATTTATTATAGTAAATACAGTAATAATGAAAAAACCATAAGATAGATAGCCAATTTGTAATATTTCGCAAGTCTACATTTAATTAATTGTCTCTCTTAGGGTTAACGTCCGTTATTCCCGCCGAACGGGCTTAGACGGTTTAGATTTGGCATTTTTGGGCTTATGGCTGGCTGCCGACCTAACGCAAGTTGGTCCCAAAATATATTATTTAATTAATAGTATTTTATAATATTCTGTGTAAGACATTTCTTATTAATACGTTAGGAATTTCTACAACGATATAAATTTAAGTTTAAACTTTAAACACTTAATGAAGTAGTACAATAAGAAGCAATATCGATAAAAATTAATGTTTTGTCGACAATATGGACCGGTATTATACAGTGTTTTGTAGTAGGAACAATTTTGAAATGGTAACTATGAATATTTTATTGGAAATAAAATGTAAAAATAAAAATTATTTTGTGTTAGTACATTTATTTTAATAATATATTTTAAAGGAATCCATAAGATTCCAATTATTTTTTAATTTTCACCAATCAGTTGTTTTTTCAAAAACAGTGTAAGTAATACGTGGTCATAAAAAAAACTTAAGATTTAAAAAAGTATATATTAATGAACAAATAATGACGGTACACATCAGAAGGATGTACATTTACATATTAAATTTATAATAAATAATATACAATCAACTTTCACTGTATTCAAATATTCAGAATGAATAATTAGTGATTATTGTACACACCTCAAAAATAATATCTTATAAAGACCTATTTTTTAATATTCTATGAACTATTATAGTACAGTCAATCTATGCAGTCCTAGTCATATCTAATAGTCACACTAACTGCAGTAAAGAAAGAAACCGTAATTATAATGGGACATAACTAGAGATAAGATCTATATAGTTCAATCATAATATAACATTTTTTCATGGTAATTAGGCATATAAGAATGATTGTAAAAATCATTATTTAAACGCATATATTTTTTTTTAATGTTAGTCGAAGTTAATCATTTAATATGTTGAGAGATAGGATAAGAGTGGCCGGTTGTAATATTATTATGTCTTATTGAAATTCTCGGTTGAACTGCTTCTTGGCAATAAACGAACGGAAATTAATTTTTAATTTTGGAAAAAAATGTAAAAGTCAGTTTCTTAATAAGGAAATTGACTTTGAATTTCAATTTAAAAATAACCAAATTAAATTGTAACTGTACGTTAACTTTATAAACGTGTGTTTTTGGGCCAACATGGAGTTGTAATTTATAACCGTTCGGCCATCTTTACAATATTATACCTATTATTGGAAAATGAGCTGGACGTTTAAGTCGGAAAAGAAAGTAAAGACAACATGTCGTAAACAAAGAGTTATGTGAACTGCAGCTACGGCGGCAGAGTCACGGAGCAATCAAGTGAAATGTCAGATAAAACGTTAGCCTTTAATTTCACATTTTTTTCTCCCGTTACGAATAGCTTCTTAAAATTATCTTGAAAATAAGATTTTTCTTTTATTAAAAATTAAATATACCGGTTTCAAATTATAAGTTAGAAAGCCGTTTTGTGGTTTTTAACATAACCGTCTGTATTAGTCCACACGATCTTACTTGGAGGACCTATTTGATTTGACTATTATTTTTCTCCAAATTTACTAGTTTCTAAATGTTCAAAAACCAACGGCAGTTTCTCTTTAATTTCCAGAAATAATTTGCAAAAACTAAGCAATAAGCCTGAGGTCACTTTAAATGGCTTTTTTTGGTCGAATGCCAAATATAGAATATTTGAAACAAGTTTTCAAGTATTTCCATCGTGTTTCTGGCAAGACTTTGACACCGGCGCTCGTTCTAAATTCATGTCTCGACTCAAAAATTTCTCTTTTTCGACTCGGTAAGATTTTTGGCAACATGTAGAACAAAATGTCATTACCGTATCGTGTATAGATCAACCGATCAAGATCCCACACGGCTATGGCATCGCTCAGCATCCCAAATCCAAATCGTGAAAAAATTTATTTCAAAATCTACAATTTCAAACCTTAACCATAAAGTTACATTACATCTTCTTCACCTCCCATACTAACTAACTGGGTTCAGTCATAATTACATTACATAAAACTTCATTTTTTCCAATTTATCTTTGCCTATTGATTTTTGTTTTATTATACTAATTCTATAACGAAGCCCTAAAATTAGTATAATAATAATAATAACAATAAAACCATAAGCTTATATTTTTTATGTAAAAACATTTTTTTTTCTTTTTACAAAGTCATTGAAGATTTTAATTAGTACAGTTCAAAACTACAAAATTGTAATTATTTTATGAGAATATGGTTCGTCTTGCGTTAAACGGATCACACCATATCAGTGTGATCTCGGTGCAGAGATTATATTATGCTGAGTAAAGTAGCCGACTATCGCATGTACTTGAACATGATGCGTTACTTTCCCTAACGTTGATTCACGCGCAAACGCACGTCTGTTTCTTGGGGAAAATTCGAAACTGCATAACCGTTAAATTATATTTGCCTCCGACAAGAACGAAAGTAATAATAATTATTGTAACCGCGTCTAAGCCGTCGCTACATGTTTAAAAAGTCCATTCGTGTACAATATACACACTCACACATGATACATGACAATAAATAACATAGCCGTATAATAAGTACTATAAGTATAGTATTAGCAAGTATAACATACTAGGTTAATTATTTGGTGAATAATTAAATTTGTGTGAGTTGTATCGACAAGTTTCAATGGTATGTGTATCTGATCAATACTCGATACATGTATTTGTCAATGGTCGTTGATACATACCGGTGCCTATACCAATAATTTAATAAATATAGACTATTTTTAAAACTAGCGCTAGTAATGCACACACTTTAATTTCCTTTCGAGCATGCCCCTATCTCTTAGGTTATAAACTGATGACCATAACATGTTAAGCAAACTAAGCACTATCATCATACACGAACTACGTTTTTGTCTGGTCTGGCGGCTGACAAAATAAATAGCGTTTAGCCGATTACCGAGGAAACGGAGCGTGCTCGGC